AAGTATACAATGTGATTTTGAATATCATAAAATTTGAACACAGAACGCGTAAAAGAATGTGGATGAAAATTAACGTAAAAACCATTGAAAATGGCCGATACAATTAAATTATAGTAAAATATTAGAAAGAGATGAATGCGAAGAAGAGAAGAGAAGCCTAGAACGCGGTAGCAATAAGCGAACCGAACGCGCCACATCTTCTTCCTCCGCTTTTTCGAAAAAAATTTAATTGAAATGTTTGTATATATTTACTTTTAGAATGCAAAAAAGAATATTATTCTGTATTTTGGTTGTAATAATGTTTGTTATTAAAAATATGTGGTAAAAGGGATACATTACGAAAAAAAAGTAAATTACTAATAGTAAATTACTAAATAAAATTTCGCATAGATGTGTCAGATTGATATGTTCATTAATAGACGAGCGGTTAAACCCCCATTTTGCGTTCACTAACCGACCGATTAACGTTCTAGCGACTTAAAATGATTGGATTCGATTCTTCATATTATTCTGCGAAAAAGCATCTATATACACTTTATTTGTTTAAGTGGTCAATAAAAAAATTACATTATTACTATTGTTGCAGACTTAGTTATGAGAAGACTTGAGACACTTGCTTTGATATCGTTTAACAAAGAGCTTCCTTTTTATTATAGATACGTGGATGATGTACCTTTTTATTATAGATACGTGGATAATGTCTGGCAGTTGATCCGTCTGATATTGACATATTATTGTCCAAATTCAACCGTGAATTGGAGCCGAGGATGAAAATCATTAAATTTACATAAATTTAATGATTTTCATCCTCGGCTTCAATTCACGGTTGAATTTGGAGGTGATAAATTAGAATTTTTGTGGACGTCTCTGTGATTAAAATGGAAAATAGATTGTTTTCTGATTTGTACCGTAAACCTATCTTTTCGGGTAGATTTTTAAATTTTCTGTCCAACCATCCTCTTTCACAGAAAAAAGGCACTGTTTTTTCTCTAGTTGATAGAGTTTTTCTTCTGTCTGATACTGGGTTTCATTATAAAAACTTCAATTTCATTATGAATATTTTACTTAAGAATGATTATCCTCTACCTTTTATTTTTAACACCATTAATCAACGACTAAAACATTTGTTAAAAAATAAACATATTGTACAAAGATAAACCTTTTCTGGATCTGCTTTTTCGCAAAATAATATGAAGAATCGAATCCAATCATTTTAAGTCGCTAGAACGTTAATCGGTCGGTTAGTGAACGCAAAATGGGTTTAACCGCTCGTCTATTAATGAACATATCAATCTGACACGTCTATGCGAAATTTTATTTAGTAATTTACTATTAGTAATTTACTTTTTTTTAGTAATGTATCCCTTTTACCACATATTTTTAATAACAAACATTATTACAACCAAAATACAGAATAATATTCTTTTTTGCATTCTAAAAGTAAATATATACAAACATTTCAATTAAATTTTTTTCGAAAAAGCGGAGGAAGAAGATGCGGCGCGTTTGGTTCGCCTATCGCTACCGCGTCTAGGCTTCTCTTCTCTTCTTTGCATTTATCTCTTTCTAATATTTTACTATAATTTAATTGTATCGGCCATTTTCAATGGTTTTTACGTTAATTTTCATCCACATTCTTTTACGCGTTCTATGTTCAAATTTTATGATATTCAAAATCACATTCTATACTTTTTATTATTAAGATATTTAAAAAGACATAAAATTTTAAAACGGATTTATTTTCAGTATTATTTACTTAAAAAATAACAAAAATTAATCAATAAAAAATTATTAAATGAAAATTAAATTCATAAAATATAACGGTAAAAAGGAATTGACACTGCAATGACTTGAACTCCATCAGTCTCAAATGTAAAACATGTATATAAGAAGCGCAGATCTTACAATTAGTCCGATCGACCACGCTGCGTATTCGAGCAATTATGTAGTTCTAGTACTCGACGGACAGCTATCCGGATCTGTGAAGCTGGCACGACATTCTATCGATATCAAAAAAATGACAACAGTTCCAGTAGCACTTTTCATAGTTCTACAGTTCTATCTAAAAATAAAAAATAGTTCCGCAGTTTTAATATGGAAAAACTAAAATTGAAAATATGGCGTGCTAACTTCGCGAATCTGGCACGACAGTTTTTCTCTAAAGTATGAGAAAAAAGTAAATATTTGCACTTTTAGCAACAGTTCCCGATAGTTCTACTAAAAATCTACTAAGATATGCATTTTGAAAACAAAATAACGACATTTAACAATTTTTATACATTATATATATAGAAAATGGCATAAAACTTCTAGAAAAAGTGACGTGCTGACTATTTCTATCAGTTTCAACGGCAATTCTCGTTAGATCTCACAGAGTTCTATGCATTGCAATCATTTAGAAGCAGAGTTCCGGCCTCTACATATTTTTAATCAATTTTTTACTACCTGAGTCCAGCACAACACTTGTAGAAAGAGTGACGTGCTGACTATTTCTATCAGTTTCAACGGCAGTTTTGGTTAGTTTTCACAGAGTTCTATGCATTGTAATCATATTTAAGCAGAGTTCCGGCCTCTAAATATTTTTAATCAATTTTTTACTACCTGAGTCCAGCACGACACTTGTAGAAAGAGTGACGTGCTGACTATTTCTATCAGTTTCAACGGCAGTTTTGGTTAATTCTCACAGAGTTCTATGCATTGCAATCATATTTAAGCAGAATTCTGGCCTTTAAATATTTATAATCAATTTTTTACTACCTGAGTCCAGCACCACACTTGTAGAAAAAGTGACGTGCTGACTGTTGTACCTTGGAGAGGTATATAAATAAATAATAATTATTGATGTAGAGATCACAATATATTTTATAACTCTACATGTGCAAGAGCTGTGTAATGGCTGAGTTGCCAGTGGTCGGTGGGGGATGGGGTCCTGCGCATGCTCTATTCTTTAACGGATATATAACATCTTCCCTCTTTTTTCTTTGAGTATAGAAGAACACAGTTCGATAAGTTTCTTATCTTATTTCTAACTATAGATATTGTAAACAAACTAAACGTATGCACGTACAAGTGTATTGTATAAAACTAAAACAAAATATTTTTGGCTTATTTGCGTATAACTGTGTATTACTAGCTATGGTGTTATAATACATAATCTCTTAGCTTTACTGGAGTCTTAACAGTTCGTCCGCTACGCGTTGTCTTTGGTCCTCTAAACTCGTTACATTCTACACTCGAATTTTTATTTCTATTATTCTTCCCCTCTTCAAAATCCTCATCATATCTACCAAATTTAAATTCAATCTTCGTTTTTTTTAAGTGACTTGAATTTTATAAACATGGAAATGGCATTGTAAGAGTCAAACGAAAAGAAAATTAAATTAACAACAAATTAATACATATATTCTAAAATTAATGAACATATAAAATTTACATAAATGTAACGATTAAAAAACAGATGTTAATTACATTACTAGTTTCGACCACCAAATCTGGTCCTCTTCAGATGAAACACTTTACGTTGAAATGTACAAAATTATGGAAAAACATCAATACATAAGAACATCTTGTGCGTAGTTAAATATATAACTGAAAAAACAATAGAATGAACATATATTAATTAAAAGATTGTAATCTTAAATTCTAAGAATAAAAATTAACGAAGCGCAAAACATACCAAAAAATTTGCAAATCTATACGTGAAAATATTAGTTGGTCCGTGTATCTATATATTTACAAAAATAATAATGATAAATGTCACACAATAAGAAAACAGTAAAAAATTTTTTCTTTAAAAATCTTATGTCAGAAATATTACAAAAATTGTCGAAGTACATCTTGAGATAAAAAGTTATACATGGAAAACTATACATGGAACACGTCAAACATCCTCAACGGACCAATTCCAACTAAATAACGAACGGCAACAACTGATACAGAAAGATCAAATTTTGTTTACAATGGGTATATATGCTTCATGAAGACCTTCCGTGTCGGTTTGTAAGTTTAGGCTAAGTTTCTGTTTTTTAATATTTAACATTTCTGAGACCAATCGCTTCCTGTAACAAGGTTCCTCATCAAGAATTTCAACATCGTCCCACCGAAAGTCATGATTATACTCCAATCTGTGATCAGTTATTACCGATCTGGTAGAACTATTATAATTTATATGATTACGGTGTTCTTTAATTCTTGTTTTTAACTGTCTGCTGGTTTGCCCCACATAAGAAGCATCGCAATCGTTACATTGAATTTTATAAACGACGTTACTCTTAGATGTGTGGAGACGTGAGTCCTTTTGCACCTTAATGTATTTTTTCATTTTGTTCGGACTACGAAAAGAAACTCTGACAACACTCCTATCAAATCTCTTAAATTTCTCCGCGTGGATCGGAATGAAAGGCACCGTAAGCCAAGATGGACATGCATTATTATTATTATCAATCTGTGTACGAGCGTGATCTTTATGGTTCTTTAATAGATGCTTTATTCTGAGGTTGACAGAATCAAAGATAAAATCCAAAGGATAATCATTATCCAGTAAAATATCAATGATAAGAGTTAGATTTCTTTTATGAAATCCAAAATCAGAGAGTAAAAAAGCTCTGTCAACCAAAGAAAACACAACACCCCTCTTTTGAGATATAGGATGATTGGAGAGAAAATTTAAGAATCTACCAGAAAAGGTGGGTTTGCGGTACCAATAAAAAATAAATGTATTATTAATTTTAGAAATAGTGGTATCTAAAAAGTTCAACTTATCTCCTCCTATTTCCAGTGTGAACTGAAGTCGAGGATGAAAAGAATTAAAAGCTTGAAAAAGAGTATCTATTTTCTCCGGTAAGATTGCCATACAAACGTCATCCACATATCTAAAATAAAAAAGGAGTGACTTGAATTTCTTCTAACTACGTTGCCTTTATCGTTCATTATCATATAAGAGCGAGGAGTCTCATGCTTCGACACTATTCTAGCTGGTTTCCATATCTTTCCCGTTTTAACTAATACATTTTCACCTTCTCGAAAGTCATCACGCTTTTTCGCATGTAGGTCATGATAATTTTTTGTACGAATTTGTTTTTCATCTTCTTATGAACGTTTTGAGGTACTGCCGGTTGTAACAACTTAACGTGTACAGGAACTTTTGTTTTAACTCTCCTGTTGAACATTATTTGAGCAGGTGGAACATCTAATCCTGATATTGGCATATTTCTATATTCTAAAAGTGCTGCCTCCATCTCTATATTTTCTTGTTTAGATTTCTCTAATATTTTCTTAGCCGTTTGCACCGCGCGTTCCGCTAATCCATTACTCCGTGGATAATTTGGTGAGCTTGTTACTATTTTAAATAACCATTTTTTTGAAAATTCTTTAAATTCATGTGAATTATATGGTTGATTATCACATATGAGTATACTAGGTATTCCATGTGTAGCAAATACAGTTTTTAATTTACCAATAACTTCTAATCCTGTTTTGTTTTTAAGTTTAATGATTTCTAACCATTTTGAATAATAGTCTTGAAGTACTAAATAATTTTCTTCTCTAAATTGTAAAATGTCACTCGCTACCTTTTCAAAAGGAACTTTTGGTATCTCATGTGAAATTAACGGTTCTTTAGTGTTTGCGTTGCTATATCTTTCACAAATTGTACATTTAGATATCATTTCTTCAATATCTTTACTCATACCTGGCCAGTATATTACTTGATTTGCTCGTGCCTTAGTTTTGATTATTCCAAAATGTGATTCATGTAACAATTGCAACATATATTTTCGACATTCAACTGGAATTATTAATTTAAAATTAAGATATAACAAGTTATCTTCTAATGTAATTTGATCCTGCATGTTAAAGAAAAATTTGACTTGATCATTGTTACGTCCGGGATTTTTTGCGGGTTTGTAAATCACGAATTTCCGAACGCGGCGTGCGGGATCGGATTCAGAGTGACGGTCGAGAAAGCGGTTTCTTAATATGAGTGGAGGGATTTGTGGAAAAAGGAAGGGAACGATCAAAGCGCGAAGAGCGATAGTGGGCCGAGCGGAAGCACCGATCGTCTCTCGCCTCGGCGTATATCCTTCATCGGGCAGATTTGCCGTATATAGAGATGGGCATTGTTAGCACATTAACCTCGTATAGAACAAAAATGCGTAATTTATCTACCGATAGTTCCCTTAGCGGAGAGGGAAGAACGAGGAATAGAATAATATATATATATAAAAACTATTTATAATTATTTACAACAAGGAGTAATAAGAAAAACGAGAACGAAATGCATATTGGCGAGGCTGCTAGAAGAGCTGAGAACGAGATAACCCTCGTAATGGCATAAAAGCAAAATGAAAATTATGCGCGGTAATTTAATTAATAATCATAACGATAACCGAGGCGGCATCGCCTCTATATACACATACATATATATATATATATATATTAATTATTTTTATGTAGTCAATGATTGCCCGGGACGGCGAGTAAGGCCCTCAGATGACGCCGAATTTTATCATTTCGAGGAATCTTTTAGGAGAGGGAGAGAGAATAACGAGGGAAAAGAGGGTGATCCTTCTACCACCACGGGACAGTGGTCGTCCGTGCGATGGCTAGTTTTGACGCGTCGCCACTCAGGACCAAAATCTTGAGGAACCGCCGGTTCCTTGGCACCGCGGCAATGCTTCGGACGCGCGGCTTCTCTACAACAGGCGGCGCGGGTGGAGGGGCAAGCCTGTACGTCGAGGCCGGGGCCTGGCGTGATACCGGCAGCGGCCGAGTAGGCTTCCTAGTTGGCGCGTAGCTAGCGGCGTCCGGAGGCGCCGGGCGAATCGCGGTCGCGGCAGGAGCCGGTGCGAGAGGCTTCGGAGGCCTCGGAGCAGAGCCGACGATCGGTTCAGCGATAGATCTCGGAGGGTCTGGAGGGTGCGTCTCCCGAGGGAAGACCTCGGACGGGTCGAACTCCCCGCGTTGGGTGAGCTCCCACCAGAGTCTCTTTTGCTGGGTGTTTTGCCCTGCTCTACGCCCTCGTCGGGTGCGACGCATAACCTGTCGGATGCGAGAATAACATTATTGTCGAGAGAAAAAGGAGGAGAGTTAGAACTAAAATCGGGCGGGATCACAACTCCAGCATCGGTGGATATTTCTATCGCGGTGACCAGTGAGCAGCATAAAAAAAAAGGGGGCACGGAATCGAGCTACTGAATGTAGCAGCGCTCAAACTCCGCTTGCTTGCAAATCGTGGAGGGGGAAAAAATGCTACTCACTGGGGGAGCAACTTACCATTCCCGTAATGTAATTCAAAAGAAAAAGACAAAAGCGGTTATTTGCGCGGAGGGCACGATATCAGTGCGAAGATCCACGCGACGTCGTCGCCGGGCGGAATCTCGGCTAACGATCCGCGAGGGACGCGAATTATAATCTATGATTCGCGGATACTTCGATCGCGGCGACCAGTGAGCAGCATAAAAAAAAAAAAGGGGGGGGCACGGAATCGAGCTACTGAATGTGGCAGCGCTCAAACTCCGCTTGCTAGCAAATCGTTGAGGGGAAAAAAATGCTACTCACTGGGGGAGGCCTACTATCACTGCAATGGAATTTTAAAATTAAGAAGCTAGAACTAGGCGGTTCTCACGTCGCGAGGAATGTTAATAACGCGAAAGTCACGCGAGTGCTGTTGTTGAGCGGAATCTCGGCTGATGAATATGCAAAGAATGTGAATTATTGTTGACGATCCGGCGAATACGTTGATCGCGACGACCAGTGAGCAGCATAAAAAAAAAAAGGAGGCACGGAATCGAGCTACTGAATGTGGCAGCGCTCAAACTCCGCTTGCTTGCAAATCGTTGAGGGGTAAATGCTACTCACTGGGGGACGAAAGAAACTAACTGGACGGCACAACACACACAACAAAAAAACGATGGTCCATCATTGTTCACTTTATATGAATATATAGGTATTTATTAACGCAGAAAATGAACAGTTGAAAATTAACGAGAGAAAGAGACCCGCGAGTACGTGAATTAATTATCCGGTAAAAAGAAAAGAAAGAACAAAACTCAGAAATATGAAGATAAATAATAAAGGCTTGATACCGATTCGAATAAACTTTTAGTTTACGCACTACGCATAATACGACCGCGGAACACTAGGTTGAATTATTGTCGAACACGGCGGAGCACGAATTACTGCGATAAGACAATTAATTAGTTGATTTATACACTTACGCTCGCGTAATTATTATCCCGGCTCTTAACAACGTTTCGAGAATGTCTCGCAATCGGTTTTACGCCGTCTAGATATATGGATTTATCGCACAATGAATTACAATCTTACTCGCGGAGAACCTTATAGTACTATCAGAAATAGAACAATAATGAACGAGAGCGCTCTGTTTCGCTCGATTATATAGGGCCAGCTTGGTGGCCGCGGCGTGTGGAAATGCCGAATTTCCAGGAAAAAAGG